ATCTTTGATATATCCTTTATAAATTCCTCACATGCTTCTTAAATTATTGTGCCCAGAACTGTACACAATACTTCAGTTGAGGCCAGTATTCTATGAAGGCTCTCCATAACTTCTTTGCTTTTGTATTCTATGCCTTTATTTACAGACCACAAGATCCAATATTAACCAATTGTTCAAATTTACCTGGTACCTTTAACAATTTGGCAAGTATACTACTAGATTTCGCCGATCTTTCACTCAATTAAAAAAGCTGATCCCTTATTTTATCTCTATTTGCTCTTTATGCCATAATGTATACCTTTACACTTCTCTGCATTAAGTTTCTTCTGCTATTTTTCCATACATTCCACCAGCCTAACGTACCCTTTTGAAATCTTCATTATCCTCCTTACTGTTCTGTTCACAATACTTCCAAGATTTCCATCATCCAAATTATTGAACATTTTTCCCTACACAATCAAGTCTAGGTCATTAACATAAATCAAGACAAGTAGAGGTCCTAGCATTGATCTTCAGGAAACCCAGTGTTCACTTCCCTGCATGCATTCTTCCCATCCAAACAACAGTTACTGTTCCCTGCAACCGCAGGAAGTGCTACACCTGCCCCTACACCTCCCCCCTCACCTCCATCCCAGGCCCCAAGAAAACCTTCTACATTAAACAGATGTTAACCTGCACATCCGCTAATGTGGTATATTGTATCTGCTGTTCCCGATGTGGCCTCCTCTACATCAGGGAACCAAGCGGAGGCTTGGGGACCGCTTTGTGGAACACCTACGCTCGGTTTGTGACAAACGACTGCACCTCCCAGTCACGAACCACTTCAACTGCCCCTCCCACTCCTTGGACGACATGTCCATCCTGGGCCTCCTCCACCACCACAACGACGCCACCCGAAGGCTGGTGGAACAGCACTTCATATTCCGCCTGGGACCCTGCAGCGCAATAGTCTCAAAGTGGACTTGACAAGCTTCAAAATCTTCCCACCCCCGACCTCATCCCAAGACCAGCCCATCTCGTCCCCACCTCCTTAACCTGTCCATCTTTTCTCCCACCTATCCGCTCCTCCCACCTCACTGACCAATCCCCATCCCAGCTCCCTACCTACACTCACCTGTACTGGCTTCATCCCTGCCTCCTTGACCTGTCTGTCTTCTCTCCACCTATCTGCTCCTCTATCCACATTCTATCATCGCCTCCCCCTCTCTTCATTAATTTCAGAGCCCCTTCCCCTCCCCCATTTCTGAAGAACAGTCCAGACCCGAAACATCAGCTTTCCTGCTCCTCTGATGCTGCCTAGCCTGCTGTGTTCATCCAACTCCACACATTGTTATCTCGGATTCCAGCATCGGCAGTTCCTACTATCTCGGAGTTACTGTTTCCTGTCACTCAGCAAACTTCACATCTATGTTGACACCATCCTTTTCACTCCAAGGACTTCAAATTAATTGGCAAGATAGTGGTGGAGTAGCAGAGTCGCAACTGAGCTCCTTGCCTGGAGCTCGTTCACTTCCGTCTGCTTTCTTTGTTTTTTTTTCTTTTTGCCTTTGCCCTTTTCTTTTGCTGTCTTTCTTTTTTCTTCATTTTTCCTCTTTGGAGTCCTTTTCAGTATCTTCAGCAAGGTGAGAGCAGGCCTGGCCTCCCAAGCATGTGCAGCAGTGGCGGCAGGAGTCAGCTCCTCAAGGACAGCGAGTCCAGTGTGGGGCACAGCAAACCCTCGGACAGCTTGCGACAGCAGTGATTGTGAGCCCAACAGTGAGAGATGGCACCGGCGCTTGGCAACTTCGATGCTGGTGGGCCCAGCGCAGGATTTGAGGCAGTGGTATCAGCACTGGTTTTTCACAAAGGCGGTGACAGCTAGGCAGCTTTTGCAGTTGGCGAAGGCAATGTGGTAGGCCCAAATTGGTACCGCTGGCAGACCTCAGCAGCAGTGTACTAAGCCAGGTGTGGCGGCAGATTGGTGTTGGCCCTGGAGCAGGACTGCTGGAATGGACCATGATGTGGGGGTGGTGGACAAAGAACCTGTTGTGGAGAACTCCTCCCCCACACTAACCCCAATCCCAGCCAATGTCGAGCAGAGCACAAGAAGGGAGGAAGAACTCTGTTCATAGTTATACTTTAGTTATATCTTCAAATCTTCTCTAACTCAAACTGGCACTGGTGCATGCCAACATATTACACGTTTCACTGTGGCAATAAATTATTCAGTTCAATGCTTTCAACCCTATTATTTAATTTTATCAAATGTATTTTGGAAGTTCATGTGAGCCATTTCAACTCCAGTAACCTCATCAAAAATTCAACCAACTTAGTTAAATGCCATTTGCCTTCAACAAATTTGTGCTGGCTTTTCTTAATGAATCCATATTTGTCCAAGTATCTATTAAATTTGTCCCTGATCATTTCAAAAAGCTTTCCCATTACAAGTGGTTGGGTTAATCCTTGCACTAGCTGCATTTATGGCCAATGTCATTGCCAGATGAAGAACATGCAAATTGGAGGGATGCTTTTAAATTTGCCAGGTGCCGCTGACAGGAATTGTAATTAACAAGAATTAGATAGCTCAAAGTCACACCGGCTGACAGAAGCAGTAACAGAGTATTACAGAATACCAGTCATTCCAGAGCAGATAGTCCACTGAAAAACCTTCATATCTCCAAATCCAAATGCCTTCAATCAAATACATCATTTATGCAGTGGCTTTCTGTTCTGTTTTGTATCAAGCATGGTGAATATTTACTAATACCAAGTATTAAAAATTTTGGACGGAACTGCACCCATGCTGATGGATCACAGAATCCATTTTAATGAAGTCACTCCTATATCTTGCAATGGGGATACATTGCATTTAATGAACAAGAATGTAACAATTTTGCAATTCTCTAGTTCTCTCGCACTGCCTGTGTCCAAGGAAAGTTAGAATATTATGGCCAATGCTTCTGCTCTTTCCAACCTCACTTCCCTTAGTATCCTCAGAAGTATCTCATCTAAACTTGGTGGCTTACCAATTACTTCAGACCATCTTTCCAACACTTTGTCAAATTTTAACCCATTCTGTTTCACAACTACATTTTTGTTCACTATTACTTTGGCATCATCCAGGCTTAGATTCAAGTTTAATAACTTTTGCTTTCAATCCTATACCTCTAGACAGAAGCCTCACTAATCAGCTTGCTTTAATTCCAGCCTTGTTAACCTGGCTCACTATTTTTCATGAGATAACAAGGCGTAGAGCTGGACGAACACAGCAGGCCAAGCAGCATCAGAGGAGCAGGAAAGCTGACGTTTCAGGTCTAGACCCTTCTTCAGAAATGGCTCACTATTTTTCATGATTTGTGTATTTGTACTCAAGTAATATGCATCTTCATTTATCATGCCAAAATGTAAAACTTCAAATTTATCTACTGTCAAATCTCATTGCCAAATCTATGTGAATTCTGCAAGTTCAAAAATTGTTTTGTAATTTGTTGCACTCCTCAGTTTGGTTCCATCTGCAAATTTTGGTGAATTTCTGTAGTGCATCTTGTAGATAGTACACACTGCTGCTACTGAGTGTCGGTGGTAGAGGGAGTGAATGCTTGTGGATGTAGTGCCAATCAAGTGGGCTGCTTTATCCTGGATGGTGTCAAGCTTCTTGAGTGCTGTGGGGCTGCACTCATCCAGGCAAGTGGGGAGTATTCCATCACACTCCTGACGTGTGCCTTGTAGATGGTGGGTAGGTTTTGAGGAGTCAGGAGGGGAGTTACTCGCCACAGCATTCTGGCCTGCTCTTGTAGCCACTATGTTAACGTGGTGAGTCCAGTTGAGTTTCTGGTCAATGGTAACCCCGAGGATGTTGATAGCAAAGGATTCAGTGATGGTAACACCATTGACTGTCACGGGATGGTGGTTAGATCGTCTCTTATTGGTGATGGTCATAACCTGACATTTGTGTGGCACGAATAACATGAAAACCTTACGAAAGTAAGGTCCAAGTTAGATTTCTGGTAAAATTTGATTTATATATCACTTGGTCATATTTTTTAATAAAGAACTAGAACTTCTTGAAAGTCAAGGAATCAAAATCACTGGACGAGTAAACCTGAATCCCAGGCCTATATTCTGGGGAACAAAAACAGAAGTTGCTGCAGAATCTCAGACCTAGCAGCATCAGTGGAGAGAAAGCAGATTTAACATTTTGCATCGTGACCCTTGATGTGTTTGAATCATACCATGGTCACTGAAGGAATTTGAATTCAATTATTTAAAAACATCAGAATTAAAAACAAGCTATTCTAATGGCAACCATATAACCATCGTCGTAAAAATTATTTGATTCATTAATGCACTTCTGAGTATTTCCTTTAGAGAAGGAAATCTAACATCCTTAAGTCTAGCCTACATGTGACTCTGGGCAATAAATGCTGGCCTGGCCGGTTTGCTCATAAGCCCACGAAATACAGGAAAAATATGAACACCAGAATCTTTGATTGCAAACAACTCCCAACAAATGTGTTAACGCCGTACTCCAAACTGGGTTGCATGCACATGCGTACTGCGGTTTCTTCTGCAAGGATTAACAACAGAGAAAACATGCACTAACCAGATGGATGAATTTTATTTTGTTCAAAAACACTCCATACTCAACGGCAACAGACGAACATTTCTCTAGCTAAAGCGAGTGGACTATTTCAACGATTGCTCAACTGATATTTACACTTCCCTAAACCTTGTAGCCCTTGGCAGATATAGGAAAGGGCAATGCTTGCACAGTGACAGCCCGGAGCTGGGGCCTTCAATGGCAATGACAGCCTCAGCCTATCAGCTGATCCCTCACTGGGGTAAAAAGAAGGACCGAGCCAGTCTCCAACGGGGCCCGAGGCTTTTTCCCCCATAATTAATCCCTCTCGCCATTTAACGAACAACCGTCCCGCGGCCCGCACCGCCAAAACCCAACCATGACAACAAGGCAGCCACCACCTTTCAAATATCCCACATCTGCAGAAACTAGAGAGACGTACCGCCTGTTAGACTTGGGGTGACGACAACGCTACTCCGCTCCTGATTGTCAATATTTTGGTAACAGTTCCCTCTGCCGCCTCCTCTTTCCTCACATTGCTCGAGCAACCCGGTCCCTTGACTCGGTCAGCTAAACATCACGCGCCGGCGCAATCGCCGGGCTCCGTGGGTCGGCTGAGCTTCATGCGCCTGCGCAGCTCCCGGTCTCCATCGGTCAACTGAACATCACGCGCCTGCGCAATCCCAGTGCGGGCCGGTCAGTCTTGCGCTTGTGCAGTCCTGGCTTCGGTTCCGCTTGTTAAGTGAGCATGCGCGACTCATTGTTTCCGCTGTCCTGGGCATATTTTACGATGTATGTTGCAATTTTGTTAGGGGTGGATGCTGTAGTTATTGTTAATAATGTGAACTAGTATATTATGTACATATTCCCATTATCTAAACTATTCTTCCTGACGTTTCAAACATAACGTGCTGGGGCATTTTCTTTGCACGGACAGCAACAGGTGGCAACCATTCTCACTTGATGTGGGTAACTTGATTGTGAATAAGTTTGTATTTGTATATTGTGGTTTTCTGCAACCGGGCATGAAAGCAAAAGCCATTAAAGCCAGCATCTGGAACAGAAACCATGCAGGAATGGAACTCAATCAAAATTGAAACAAAAAACAGAAATTGCTGGAAAAGCTCAGCAGGTCTGGCAGCATCTGTACAGAGAAATCAGCGTTAACGTTTCTGGTTGAATGACCCTCCTGAGGAAAGCCTCCTGATTTCTCTCTTCAGACGCTGAGCTTTTCCAGCAATTTCTGTTTTTGTTTCTGATTTATAGCATCTGCAGATCTTTTAGTTTCATTCAAAATTGAAATGTGCTAAAAATAAGTACTGGGACCACGACTAAGCAAAAATCACAAACACTGAGTGCAGGATAACTACAGCACAAAAAACAGGAATAGTGCACAAAGTACACACTTGATTTGTCAGGAGAAAGTTCTTTATAGCACCATTCTGATGCAGATTTTGTGGCGCTTTACAGGAGACTTATAAAACAAGTTGCAACTCTGAGTCGCAAAATTAAGTAAAACGTCAGATGGTCAAATTAAGGAGCATCTTAAGGGAAGAAATTCGAGGCAATTCCAGATTTTTGTCCAAATAATTGTAAGTAAACCGACAATGTCAATAGGACTTTAAACGAGAAAGTGGGGGAGAAAGGAATGGTGCAACTTGCCCCAGTGGGAAACAAAGCAGCAGGTTGACATCTGTAGTGGTGGATTCAACTGTAGTGGTGGATAGCATAAAAGCAAAAGAGAAAGCATATAATACGGCGAAGGGCCGTGGGAAACCAGAGGACTGGGAAGCTTACAAAGACCAACAGAGGGCAACAAAAAAAGAAATAAGGAGGGAGAAGATTAAGTATGAGGGTAAGCTAGTCAGTAATATAAATGAAGACTGTAAGAGTTTCTTTAGGTGTATATAAAGGGCAAAAGAGAGGCAAAAGTGGGCATTGGACCACTGGAAAATGATAGTGGGGAGCAAGGAAATGGCTGAGGAACTGAATAATTACTTCGCGTCAGTCTTCACGGTGGAAAACACAAGTAATATCCCAAAAATTCAAGAGTCAGGGGACAGAGCTAAGTATGGTGGTCATCACCAAGGAAAAGGTGCTAGAAAAACTGATTGGCCTGAAAGTGGACAAATCACCTGGACCAGATGGACTACACCCCAGAGATCTAAAGGAAATAGCTAAAGAAATAGTGGAAGCATTAGTGGTGATCTTTCAGGAATTGCTAGAGTCAGGGAGGGTCCCAGAGGACTGAAAAATCGCTAACGTGACACCCCTGTTTAAAAAGGGAGTAAGGCAAAAGATGGAAAATTACAGGCCAATTAGCCTAACCTCGGTCATGGGTAAAATTTTGGAGTCCATTGTAAAGGATGAGATTTCTGAATACTTGGAAGTGTATAGTAAAATAGGGGAAAGTCACCATGGTTTCATCAAGGGGAGGTCATGCCTGACAAATCTGATAGAATTCTTTGAGGAGATAACAAGCAGGGTAGACCAAGGAGAGCCAATGGATGTTATCTACCTGGACTTCAAGAAGGCCTTTGATAAGGTGCCACACAGGAGGCTGCTGAGTAAGATAAGGGCCCATGGTGTTAGAGGCAAGGTGCTAGCATGGATAGAAGATTGGCTGTCTGGCAGAAAGCAGAGAGTGGGAATAAAGGGGTCTTTGTCAGGATGGCAGCCAGTGACAAGTGGTGTTCCTCAAGGGTCAGTGCTGGGACCGCAACTTTTCACTTTATACATTAATGATCTAGATGAAGGAACTGTGGGCATTCTGGCTAAGTTTGCAAACGATACAAAGACAGGTGGAGGGACAGGTAGTATTGAGGAGGTGGCGAGGCTGCAGAAGGATTTGGACAGTTAGGAGAGTGGGCAAAGAAGTGGCAGATGGAGTACAACATGGGAAAGTGTGAGGTCATGCACTTTGGGAAGACAAATAAAAGCATAGACTATTTTCTAAATGGGGAGAAAATTCAGAAGTCTGAAGTGCAAAGAGACTTGGGAGTTCTAGTCCAGGATTCTCTCAAGGCAAACTTGCAGGTTGAGTCAATAATCAGGAAGGCAAATGCAATGTTGGCATTTATTTTGAGAGGACTTGAATATAAAAGCAGGGATGTACTACTGAAGCTTTATAAGGCTCTGGTCAGGCCACATTTGGAGCATTGTGTGCAGTTTTGGGCCCCATATCTCAGGAAGGATGTACTGGCCCTGGAGCGGGTTCAGAAGAGGTTCACGAGAATGGTCCCAGGAATGGAAAGCTTAACATATGAGGAACATTTGAGGACTCTGGGACTATACTCATTGGCGTTTAGAAGGATGAGGGGTGATCTAATTGAAACTTTCAGAATACTGAATGGCCTGGACAAGTTGGAATTTGGGAAGATGCTTCCATTGGTAGGAGAGTCTAGGACCCAAGGACACAGCCTTAGAGTAAAGGGAAGACTCTTTAGAATGGAGACAAGGAGAAACTTCTTCAGCCAGAGAGTGGTGAATCTATGGAATTCACTGCCACAGAAGGCTGTGGAGGCCAGGTCATTGAGTACATTTAAGACTGAGATAGATAGGTTCTTGATTATCAAGGGGATCAAGGGTTACAGGGAGAAAGCAGGAAAATGGGATTGAGGAACTTATCAGCCATGATTGATTGGTAGAGCAGACTCGATGGGCCAAATGGTCTAATTTCTGCTCCTATGTTTTATGGTCTAATGATGGAGCACATATAGTTGAGGTGCTATAGAAGCCAAAGTTACATCAAAGTAGTATCTCAAAGGGTATAGAACAGAATATCCTTTATTGTTACATGCACTCTAATGAGTGCAATGAAAAATCTGTAATGTCGCCTCTTTGGTGCCAACTTAGGTACAGTGTACCTCAAGTGTTTGTTACAGATTTGAAAGAGTAAAGGAAAAGTCTAGCATAAGAATACAAAGTTTTAAAAAGTCCTCAAATTATTCAAAAATCCAGAATAAGAATAAAAAGTATCTTTAAAAGAACTCAAATTATATATAGTCCTTTTCACTGAGTTTGTGTGCGCTGGGCTTCAGAACACAAGGCCTCACTGCTTCCACACACTGGCCTCCAGCCCAGACTCACCTCCAGGACTCATCTCCCAGGCCAGCTTGGGCTTGATCTGCTCCCACTCTGGCTGGGACTTGCCCCCCAGGTTGGCCTAGGCTCAGTCTACTCCAGCTATGGGCTCCAGCCACAACTCACTTCTGGGATTCACCTTCTGCGCTGGCATGGTCTCCGACTCGTCTCCCGTGCAGGGCTGGACTCTGACTTGCCTCCATTCCCCATTCCCTCTGGGTAAGGTTGTTTAAGCAGTTAAAAGTAGTTGGTGGGGGGGAGAAAAACTGCAGAAAAGAGGGAAAAAAAGATAGGAAAAGGAACTGGCGAAGCAGAGGAGCATCCTACTCTGCCACCGTCTTTACCTCGGTAGTGGGGCTAGTGGAGATTAAACAAATAAGAAGGAGTAAAGCCACGGAGAGCTTTAAAATTAAGACCTTAATTGACTGAAGAATCACCATAGATCCATGAGGAAAACAGTGACGGACGAATGGGACATGATGAAGTTATGACATGAGCAGCAGAGTTTTACATGAACTCAAATTAGAGACAGTAAAATGTGGAAGATAAGCAAGATTTCCATGCACTGAAACAGCCTAGACTGAAGGTACCAAAGGATTGAATGAGGGTTTCAGCAGAAGATAAACGGGGTCGGGCAAAGTCAAGCAAAACAGGTGAAGGCAGAAGCTCATTGCAGGATCAAATATAACACTCAAATGAAAGTAAAATATTGCGGATGCTGGACATCTGAAATAAGTACAGAAAGTGCTGGAGAATCACGACAGATCTGGCAGTATCTGTGGAGAGAGAGTTAACATTTAAAGTCTCATGTGACTTATTCAGAATTCAAATACGACAGGGTTGAAAACAAGATGGTTTAGTCTCTCACTGTTGATCGGATCCCAGAAGATAATATGACTGGACAAGTAAGTTCTCAGAGTGAAATCTGGCTTGATAGATCAAAGTTTTATTTTTGTAGTTTGGTTACTGTGGTAGTCAGCCACTCATTTTATGCAAGATTGCCAACTTTTTTTAACACACATTACACAAAATATAAATACAAACCTATACATGTAAGTGACAATTTAGAAAGATCTGAACATAACGAGCAAAAAAAATCAATTTTTTTCCCCAGTAATGTCCTTTACAGTCACTTAATCCCAGTGAAGTATCACCTCTGTCTTAACTCTTTAACTTGGTATTAAACTGACAAGGTAGCAAAAATTCCTTTCGGTCTTTCTGCACCAAAGACATAAAAATACAGACTATCTCCCTTACTCTTACCTCTGAATCTTAAGACAAAATTAGGGTCTTTCTTAATAAAAACCGAAAGAACTGGGGATGCTGTGAATCAGGAACAAAAACATAAGTTGCTGGAAAAACTCAGCAGGTCTGGTAGCATCTGTGAAGAAAAAAATCGGAGTTACCATTTCGGGTCCAGTGACCCTTCCTCGGAACTGATGGTGTTTGGGGAAACGTTGGCTTATATGCGTCACATATGTTCAGATAAATTCAGGCCAGTTTCGACAAGCGAGTCTCCGACATGTCCACCTTCTTCTTCAACCGAGGATTCCCCAGCACCGTTGTCGACAGGGCCTTCACCCGGGTCCAACCCATATCCTGCACTTCTGCCGTCACCCC